CTATTAAAACTGTACTTGCCTCATTTGCGTAGCATTCTTTCCAAAAAAAATTTCCGGGGTCGCGAGATATTTAAGTCAGGGTCACACTGTCGAGGAAAAACAGGGGACACAAATAATCATCCAAGCGTCTCATGAAGAGTTACAGGAACGTCTCCTCCACGACTGACTGAGGGAGATCTTTCCACTTCCATATTGCCCTTTGTGTGAAAAATTCAGAACTAAGATTCAGCCTGGACATTTATATCCGCAGCTTCATCGAATGACCACGTAGGTTGGATGAAAGGTGCCACTGGAGCATGCCCTCAAAAGCTAAGTCCATGGTCAAGGCCATGTAGTGTAGACGAGGATAAGATTACCTCTTTGCTGCCCGTAACACGGAAGGAATAAATTAAGGCAAATCAGTCTCTCTGTGTAGGATTGGCTCTTTAAACCGTTCACCAGCTTCGTTGCACGACGTTGTACTCTTTCTGGGCATGCTTGGTCTTTTACTAGCCATAGTCGCAACGCTTGTATGTCATATTCTAAATGGGGCCGAACAAAGATGCCGTAGACTCTCTCAAAAGGTCTTTATTAAAGGTTATGAACGTTTTTTTGATTGCATGGAGCACTCCCGTGGAATTTTTTGCAACCTGGGTGCACTGCAGTGTTGGTCTTATGTCGCTCTGTATCCAAACACCGAGATACTTCCGTGGAAATTCCATGGGAATAGCTTTGTCTTCCAGAGGATATGCCCTGATGCTGTCACTCAAAGACAATTGGTTGGATGCAGATGAAGGACGGCACACTTCTGCGCATTGAAATGTAGAAGCCATTTCTCAGACAACGCTTCATGTCCGTGCAGATTGTTTTGAAGGCTGTCTGGTCATAAGGACTATTAAGGACTTGCCAGGGCACACCGTAGTCGGCAAACATTATTTTACGGCAGCCGATTTCCTGAAGACGGTCATTAACATAAAGGATGAAGAGCCAGGGTCCCAGAACTGAGCCTTGAGGCGATAGTTCGACCGCCTCACCCGACGGTGTTCACCGTGTGCCCCACAGCCGATGGTGGAAGCAGGGACGGTGACTTGCACAGGGGCTTATAGTCCCAGTAGACTTGCGCTGAATCTACTACACGCTCTCCTCCTCCTTCGCCTGAGCCAGGTGTCAAGACAGAGTCAAGAGGACCAGAATCAAGGGAGGCTGCAGGTGAATGGGTCGGACGAATCCACACCTTGGCGATCCACTCCGCATTCCCTGGTACACACAACAGATGACCAGGATTTCGACCAGCACAACAGAGAAAGGAGGCTGGCACGGCCGAAGCCGCACCTAGGCGTGCCGCCAACGCCTGGCTCGGATCACACGCTGGTGAGAGTGCTATAAAGGCCATATTAAGAAGGAGCCATTGCAGCCTGACTCTCAGACCACCAGCAGTCAAGGAGGAGGTCCAAGTTATCCCGTCAGTTGGCAACCTTCCAAGCCACGGCTTTTAGCGCACCGTAATAGCTTCAAGCGCATCAGATTGTTTATAGTGAGAAGAAAATGCGCTCAGTCGTCGACCTCACTCTCCCTTCCCATCCGAACACCCCAGCCGCCGTCCGAACCGGTCAGCAGACCGGGGTGGGGAATGGGCACGATGGCTAAGGACGCGTCTTGCTTCTTCGACGGAGAAGACAACGGTTTCAATGACGGCAGTACCTTGATACTTGAAACTCCCGTGTGTCTTGGCCGATTTCAAACTCCTGATTGTCTTCAGAAGACTCCTCCGTAAAAATCCGATTAAAAAACTAAGACAGTAATTGCACTTTCTGTGGCCCTTCAACTAATAAGTTTCTGAGGCTATCCTTTCGACTCACAATTTCGTCCCAATTCTTTCTCCTACTGCGAATGTACCCATAAAACTTACAGGGAAATATAATGGATTCTGCTATCAGTCGGCGTTCGTAAGAAGTTCTAGCAACCCGTATTTGCTTGCGGCATTTATTGCGTTGCTCCTTATATTCGGCGAATGTTGTTAGATCCTGAAGATACACATACTTTTCCACAGCATCTGTTTCTTCTTTGTGGTCATTTTTTATCATCCGAGCGACCCACGGGGGTCGCGCACATAGTCTTGTTACTTTTATTGGAAAATGCGAGTCAGTTAAACGTTCTATAATACCCCGAAAGTACTGCCAGAACTCTCCTGAATCGTCCATGTTGACTAACCAGGTTTCCGCCAAAAGAGCACGTCTCTTTGCGTTCAAGTCGTCCGCCCAAATATTACTGTGCATCTTGATTTTTGGTTGCTGGTTTTATAGGAGAGTACACGCAGTTAAAAGCAATGTGGTCAATTAAACCGACTGGAGGTTGTGGATTTACTTCCCTTATGACTCCTTCTTCTTTACTGAAAACGAGATCTAAACAGTTAGATCTTTGTCATTCTCTCAGTCTTGTGTCGAATTTTATGTGTTGAATGAGGTATTCATTCAGGGAGAGTTGTAATAGCTCGTGGTCACATGACGTGGACGGGGCGTTTGTTAAAGGAACGTTCCAGTCTATTCCTGGAGCGTTAAAGTCACCCAGTAGTAGTAGTAAGTTCTCCAGCTTACACAACAACTCCAGTGCACTAAGTAATACCATATCGGCGATTTCATTCAAGCCGGGAGGCCGATAGACAACACACAGGTTCAGTGTCGATAATTGTTTGATACATATCTTGCATTAAATTACTTAAAAATTTCGCGGCATTCCATCGTATATTTCTCGCTGACAGCACGGAATTTCATATGACACATAAATCGCTGTGCCTCCTCCTCTACGTTGAAATCTGTCACAACGGAACAGTTGGTAGCCTTCAATACTGACTTCGCTACTACTTATTTCCTCAGTCAACCATGCCTCTGTTAGGACTATTACGTGAGGCTTCTGTTCACAGACTAGTAATCTGAGTTCATCTAGCTTGTTCAGGAGACTCTGACATTAAGTGTAATAGATTTCTAGACAGCGGCCACTGGTGCTAGCAGCCTCAGCTATCAAGTCGGGTTGGAAATGGGCCATAGTGAGTTTTATTTCATCCAATTTGTTGAATAAACTCTGCACATTTGTGTACATCATTTGTATGTTATTCGGCTGTTTAGATCTCTGGAAATTGTTATGGGTGCGAAACCCATCAAGACTTCCGAGTTGTCCAGAAGTAGGGTATTACAATTAATTGTTCAGGTCTGCCAAAATACATGGCAACTGAATGAGCACAAACCGATCAGCTTGGTCGCCGAGCGTCGCACATTTCATTCCGGATAGAGCAAAAGGGCTTCTCAGTGCTTCTCTGTGTTGACATGAGGAAACAGCGCTTTTTGCGTTTCTAAGGCTCAGTCTTAAATGCTACTCCAAATGCCAGTTTTCTTCTTCTTTACTAAAACGAGATCTAAACAGATCGCTGTCTTCTCTCAGTCCTGTTTCGACTTTAGTGTGTTGAATGAGGTATTCGTCTAGAGAGTGTTGTAGTAGTTTGTGTCGGAATGACGTGGACGAAGCATTTGCCGGCGAGCACGGCCTTCAGCTGCTGCAAGTCGCTGAGTACCAATATGATTAGTTGAGCAAGACAGCTCACTACTCCCTATTGAATTTCAACGAAATTGTAAACAGTTGTGCCGCCTCGACGCCCATTTGTTCAGCACTGGAGACGGCTGTATTGCTGGGATTCTGTAGCCTGGTTCTCCATAGGCAATCTTAAGTAACTATCTATCATAACCTACTTATTTACATGAGGTGACTGGTGCCTATTGACAATGCCTTCTGCATACGAAGGAAGAAGTAGGAGCATTTTTATCAATTCTTGACCTACAAACCATTTGAGATTTTGGGAAGAATATGGTCTCCCGAAATACTCGGTCTCGTAGACGGAGGCGTATCCCCGTCCATACAAATTGAACCATTATTTGGACGAGGTCATGAAACAGCAGGGTTGCATTTTCAGATATTTTAAGAATATTTCTGGATGTGAGATCTCCATGAGGTTTAACCGATCTTCAGAAGAAGCTATCGAACACAAAAACATGAGGGAACAGATTTTGGGTTTATTAATGGGAACCTTAAGCGGGCACTTTAGGGGTTCCTTTTTGTAACACGGCAGGTGTTTAAGTACACTTCACATACTGAAAATAAAATCCTTCAGGTACACCAGCTTCATGAAGCACACGCTACTAAAAACATTTTCAGCGACAAGCCGTTCAATCAAAGCAAATAACAGAATATAGCAGGTTTACTTCAGATCCCACTATGCACTCTAAGTGCTTGAGATTTCTTCATTCCAGAGTTTCAGAATAGACATTTACCTTAAATGGCACAACTTTGTGCTCAGATGTCATGAAGTGAATTGAATTGAATTGACCCTCCCCATAGGACGTCTGGAATTGTCTGACGCTTTGCCCGCTGTTAATGGAGTTAATTTTGCTTTGTTAACTTAGTTTTAACTTCGTTAGACTGAAAAGCAAGCTATATTAAGTTGGACTCGGGGGTTTGTTGTCTTCATGTGGTTCAGTTTTCATGTTCACCGTTTCTGGTAACAGGGCTGTCTGGAAGTCATTGTACTGCAGCCCCTGGCCCACTCTGTCGATGCTCTTCGTCAAATAAAGCATAAGCTACTTCATCTCAGTCCTCCTCTTCCCGGCAACTAGGGTAGGCTTTTAGTGCCTACCATAATGACTGATGCTAGTTGAATTACATCTAGCGGTAGCTTCTGCAGATAAATTAGATATGCCGACCAACACAGATGCTAGGACGCAACAATAAGTACTATTCGGATCGGTTACAACATTAAGGCGAGTGTCCATAAGAATCATCTGTTGCTGATTTTTAATATTCGGCCTACACTTAATCTAGTATAGGTGATGTAAAAAGCTGCATGGAAATACTCAGGCATCTGGATAGGCAGCGAATTCGACAAATTAGAGGCGTAAGCGAACTGATCCCCTATGTATTTTACCACGCTCCTTACTAACGCCAAACCTATGAACGTTTTTACGTTTCTGTCCGTGATGTGGCCGTGCATTTTTCTGACACTTTTTTTCCTTGTCCTACCAGGTATTGTCAGTCCAAATTTTTAGTGAGACTTAGTTTTTTCGTGCGACCCGGAGGTAAAATATAGGGATTACACATCCAAAGAGGCTCTTTTGTCGTCAAAAACCGTCATACTTCTCGAAGGCCGAGCCACATGTACCCACGACGAGGTTTGTACCTATCAGGGGAATATGGTGCTTTTCAGCTAAATGAACTGTATGCCGTTTTAGGTGACACTGTCGTCCCTGTAAGCCGCAATCTTGAAACCGACGAATTTCATGTATGTCTTTCATTTTCCGCTAACGTGCCTAGGTGACCTTTTCGGACGAACACAAAAAACTGCCCAAGGGTTACTATACGGTTCGTTTTTATGATGATGAGGGGTACTTGTCTGTTCGAAAGGCTCAAAGCCTCGGCCAGCCAATCCAGTCCATAAAACCCGTCTTCTCGGTTGAAGTATATCACGGGGTAGGTTGCTTTTTACAAACTTACCTAGTCAAAGGGCGTGTGGCTCAGACCATGGATCCATTCGGAGACAGTCGCATTGTTGACTGCCGCACTTGTCGGCTTAGGTGCAGTATTGACGAAGAAGAAGATGTTCTAGACCCCTCTTCATCCCAGTTCACTTTTCTATCTCTTTTTGAACTCTTATACTTCCGTGGTGAAGCAGTCGCCTCCGGAAAATCAGGTGGCACTCATCTTTTATCAAATTCCACATTCTTTACTTACATGTACTGGCATTCTTCCGCAATTCCGTCCACTTTATTTAAGGTAGAAGAAACCATCCGTTAGCATCGTTGGGGTAACACCTTCTTCTTAGTCGCGAAAGCCTTTTCCAGCCCACATTCTAATGTACCTTTAAAAAAACTACTTCGACCATAAGTTCTCCTCGGAGAACTCGTATTAAAATATTAGCCGTGTTTAAAATGTGGTCTACTCCCGGCAGCCCGGTATTTCGCAAGACTGCATGAAAACCGATGCTAGGGCGTAATGATCTGTAGTCCTCTCTGCAACCTCGGCAGAGTACAAGACTCCCTACTTCGTTTTCGACTTCCCTTATTCCCCCGTAGTAGTCAATTTAATCATTGACAGTGGAAAGTTCCCGGTAGGAAAATGCCTCTCCTTCACCCAGAGACGTTAAATCCTGGAAGTAGGTTATGTCTGTGTGGGCAATGCAACCAAGCTAGGGGGCTAGAACGATTGGCAGACGCTTAAAGGAGCGGGTTAGAGGTGGTGCGGAATCAGAACGAAACGCAACTACCTACAACGTAGAAAAATGGAAAACAAATTAGCATAGGAAAAGACCGCAAACATTGAAATTATACACAGGACTGAAAATCCTAAGTTGCATCCGACAAGCCAGATGGGAATGTACGAAATCACATAGCGGACTAAATACTATCACACAACTGGTATTAAAACAGGGAGGGGAAACGTCTTGCATACTGTGAGAGGTCGACCCGCAAAACGGTGTCACGCGGGCGCCACCTCACGTATTCTGATTTACAAGCGAAAGCGGACGTTCAGGTTCCGACCTGTCATCCTGGGTCAGTTTTTCAGGCAGTCGGCTATACATCGACTTGCAGTAAATAATCAGGAAATAATGTCCATGAGGACTAGGGCACTGGGATGTTTGTTTCTGACCTGTTTGCTGGCATCGGCCAGAACTGCCATTCCGGTGTTTTTTTTATCTGTCTTACCGTCATAAGCCTAGCTTAGACGTGTTGGCGCACCCGCGCTTAGGACTTGCTACTGCAACGGCTCTGTTTGACGGATTTGTATTGAGGGGGGGGTGCCGTGGTGGTTCACTGCTAATAATTATACGCCGCCAGAGGCGCCACCGTGACTGTCGTCTTTATGCCTATTTAGTTGGGGTATCTGAAGTAAGTAAGCGGTGAAAGTTGACAGTGGCTATAAGTTTGTGCTGTACCTGTTCTTCGTTATAATTACTTCCACCGAGCTGACAGTCAATCCATATGTGAAGAGCTGCACGTCCGCAGGCATTTCGGTGTTAATGCGCAATTCTCGGCAAAAAGGTGGTCAGTGACGCAGTCCGGGCGGCGATGGACCTCGGGATGCTCGGTTTTCTCCTCACTATAGTCTCCCATTAGTGTGTAAGAGGAGAGAATGAGTGACCGTATTTGCATTTTTAGTGGGGAAATAGATGTATCCTTCGTCTTCCACTCAAAAACCGTATGAGTGTCTCATGATCAGTGCAGGTCCCTAAGGGTCGGCAAAAAAGATACAAATGGAAGCTTTGTAACCCAAGCACTCCCCTGGGCCTCTGTCCAGTTGCCCGCTGTCGGTTTCCGTCTGGTCTATAGTCTTAGATACAAAGACAATCGGCATTCGGTGCATAAGAGCCGAATTCAGGACTTACGGGGACGCATCGCATTCCAGTGTGATATGCTTTTCACGGTCGTAATGAATCTGAATAGATGCGGAGTCAGGAGTCGTTTTGACTGTTCAAAAACACCTTGTCCGACTTCTGTCCAGTCCCAGCAACGATTCTTTTCAAGCGGACAATGAGAGGACTACATAATCCTAGAAGCTTGATTCATAAAGTGACTAAAGTGGGCAACCAACCCAAGGAATGAACGCAGTCAACCAGTATTACTGGGGTGCAGCGGTTTCACCAAGGTCTTGAGCCTGAGTTCGAGTGGACGACGGCCAGTTCTTTCTACCTCAACGCTGAGATATTCCACCGAGTCAGCGAGAAGAATGTACTTATTTCGAGTTTGAAGCCGGCCTCTTCTAAACGTGCTAGCACTGTTCAGAGCCTACGAGTGACTATTTTCAGATGGGCTGGTTAGTAATATATTCTCCAGATATGCTCAGGCTAAATGTTCGTTACGAGGCTATGAATGAAGAATCCAGACAAATCTGGAGCAGAACTTACTCCAAACGGTACTTGTTATTATCGAGACAATCTTTGGTGCATATTGGTGGTGGTGACGCCTTACGAATCTGGATCTAGGACGACTTGGATGTAAGCATTTCGCAGGTCCATAGTTGGGAATTGTTGAACACAGGACGGTTATGCATACAGATCCTCGGTGCGCGGGCAGTTATGTGTTTATGTCACTTTCTGAGTTGGTCATCAGCTTGGAGTTGACGCAGACACGAACGAAATTATGGGATTTAGAATGGACTGTTGGGGCTGCTCATGTTAAATGTTGCACAGATCTGGTTGTGTCCGCTTGCTGTAGGCGATCCGGTTCTTCAACCTTTAGTGGAACTGCGCAGGAGCTGGAAATCTGCTTTAAATTAGAATCCCACAAGCGGATCAGAGTAGTGGGCACTGGATTCGTCATGGAATAGTTCTTTATGATTTATAGATGGGAGCTGTAGCCGAGAAAACACTAGCCCGATTTACATGGAATAGCACAGAAGACACATATTTAATTCAGTCCCGTCGGAGCTGGCTGTTGACCTCCCCAGGCCTTCGGTTTTAAAAAAAGTTTCTAATTGTGGGACCTTTAAATACCGTGAAATCGCCCTTCATAAATCGTCATGTCTCTCCATTTACCAATGTGGCTTGTAAAGTTAACAATATGGATCAAATCCACTGCTAAATTTTATGAACCCTGTATGGTCCCCCTTTATCACCGTAGAGTAATGTGTGGTTTTCCGTACGCGGAAAATAAACGGTTTGTAGCTTGGAAACCCTGAATCCAAGTATAATGGTAGAGCAGGTTCAAAATTATTCTGGAATTGGAAGTTTTTGAAAACCAAATTATGTCCCTCCTTCGAGTATACAATTAGAAGAAGACGTAATTGTCTACCGAATAAGCGAAGGAATGAATACTTTTTTGCGTTTTTTCCATGAAATATAATTGAACTATTAGGGGCATCGAAAATCGATTAGAAAAAATTCATGCTACTTGAGTAGTCGTTTTTTACAGAGTGTAGTTTTTGCATGCAGCCGGAAGGAAGTTCATTCGAAAACCGGCATTCTGAATTAGCTGAGATATTATAGAATTATGTTGCAGGCCGACTAGTTTTACAACCCTACTTAATTAATCTTTTCGAAACGAAAACCCATTTCGAAATTGCGGTTGACATTTTTTGAGTTATCCCACCTACCGTACTTTTACTTCGTGGGGCTGTGATTATGCCTGATCTAGCCGGCTTTGATAATGTCACGCATTGTACCTCTCCACCCGTGGCGATATGTGACAGCGGATCTGGACAGTTCGATCAGTCCCTTCTCCAGCGACCGAAGGAGTCAGCCAGTACCGACAGTTGAGGGGAGGTCAGCAAGTGTGTTGGCGCTCCTGGTACGGGCTCACCAGCCTCAGTGCACTGGATACGCAAATGATCGACCAGGCCGATGAGCAATGTGCATGTGCGGTGAAGATGTGGGCTGGATAGGCTGGCAGCCGTTGAGCTTGTAGTGGTGGCGACGCTGGTTGAGGGGGAGTTGCCAGTGCTGGAGAAGGGGAGTTGTCAGATGTACCAATTGGCTTGTCGATAGTGCAATGAAGTCCACTGTCGGCAATGCGCATGCGATTGAAAAGCCCGTGCGATCTCCGAAGGTAATTGGATATTGTGAGTAAATGATACCTTTGTAGCCGGCATATGTCGGGGCTCCAAGCACTGGTTCGCCGGTATCAGTGCGAGGCATTCACGAGTGACTGACCATACCAGTGTGTGATGTGAAGGTGCAATGGCAATGAGGACAGGTTGCGGTTAAGTCGGCATTACTGATGGTGGGAACGGTGAGGTTTTTGCGGTTGTGAGAGCGATGGTTGTGAGGCGTTGGGAGTATTTTCGCCGGTGACTTGAGTTGTGGTAGGCATTTTCGCACGCGTTGCGATAGTGACGATGGGGTGGTTGTGGGCGACGGCGTAGCCCTAATCCGGGCGCCTGCCGCAAGGCTGCGCCTGTTGCGAGTAATTGCACGTACGCACTAGTGGCACTGGTTCTCGGCCAATTACAGGGGCTCAAACCGATCAATCATCTTCAAGGCCGACTCAGGTTCTGCCTATGGTTTTAGCTGCCTTGACAAGACCCCAGGAGGGTGCTCACCGGTAGTGGTGGTGGTCATGGTTGTGGTCATCGTCGTCATGGGAGTTGCAACGGGAATGTCGGCGGAGGCGTTTGTGTAGTAAGTGGAGCCGCTGTGCGTTTGCTGGTTGGTCTCGAGAGAGAGCCCATAAGGCACAACGGAACGAGTGAGTTCCGTAAGAACAATCGGTGAGCACCCTCTACCATTGTATATTCCCGATCGAAACCGACAGGGCAACGGGCTCGTGGCCCAGTGGTCAAAGGCGTGGACTTCTAACTAACAGGTCGCAAGCTCGAGCCTCGGGTGTTCCACACTTCGGCGTTGGGTATGGCTGGCTGACGACGGCTAATAGGCCAGAAATGGCCATTCCAGTCTCCCTTGTCTTTATCGGTAATGTCATTCTGCCTATATCATGCGCCGCTGTACGGCTGCTGGTTGGGCTCGAGAGAGAGAGACCATAAGGCACAACGGAACGGTCGGTAATGACAGTTGTTGGTTTGTTATCGAATTGGGTCCGACAATGTCTGACAAAGTCTGTACTTGCGCGGAAAGTCCGTTGACAAGAGGAACGCGATGGGTGTGCGTGGTGGTTT